CGAGTTATTACTTATTGATCAAAAGATATGAAAAATATTATTAGATATTATCTATCTATACTATATAAAAATTGAGGCTATAAGGCATAAGGACGTCCACATAGAATTTAAGTCCTCCAATCATATCATGACACATAAATTTTTTGATTTGTTAATTTTAAAATTGTTAATGTTACTAAAACAATATGTATAAGAGAAATTTAAAAAAAAATTAAAACATTATATATAATTTAGTTTTAACATTAAAATGACAAGTTATCTTAATTATAATATTTCTGAAATAGTCAATATGACTACAACAACCACATAAGATTTAAGTCTTGCAATCATATCATGATACATAAGTTTTTTTGATTTCTTATTTTAAAAATGTTAATGTTACTAAATATAAAATAATAATAATTATTATGTATAAGGGAAACTTAAAAAAGTAAACCATTATATATAATTTAGTTTTAATATTTATAGATTTTCGAAATTAATTAAAATAAAAAAATTATCTTAACTTTACTATTTTTGTAAAAGTCAATATTAAAAAAAAATTAATTTCCAAAATAAAATATAAATCAATATCAAATATGGTAAACTTAAAAAAATAAAACATCATATGTAAGTTAACCTAATATATAAAATAATTACGAAAATAACATAAAATAATTACCAAAAATAATTAGTCAAATAATTATCTTAATTTTACTATTTCTTAAAAAATGAATAGTAATGTATATATATATATATATATATATATATATATATATATATATATATTCTATACTATTTGAAATTGAGGCTATAAGCCATCGAAAACTTTCACATAGAATTTAAAAAAAACCAATCATATCATGATACATAATTTTTTATTTGTTATTTAAATAAAATGTTAACGTTGCCAAAACTATAATTTCAAAATAAAAAATAAATATGTATCAGGTAATCTTACAAAAGTAAAAACATTATATATAAGTTAATTTTACTATATTACAGATTTGTGAAATTAACATTAAAATAACTAATTATCTTAAATTTGTTATTTCTTAGAAAAAGAAATAAAATGTAAATCAGTATAAGCTTAA